ACTTGTTTCCAAATAGATACATACGATACCTGAGTACTACTATTCTAAGGATTTGCTGAGAATAAGTCCCTATGTTGGAGAGGCTTGTGGAAGGTGGCGATCGCTATTTTAAATGCCTGTTTATCACTGTCTGGGGACCATTGGTCAGTTCCAGGGAATAGTTTATTAATTTGGGAGCAACTAAGAGAACAGAGAATTTGAATGTTTATTCTGATTAGAGATAGATGCAAGATGAAAAAATGAAAGGAAGTATGACACTCACAGGAATTCCTGACCTCATAGGAAAAAGAGACAACTCATATACTCACTCATTGTTTCATGTTTGTTGAAGTGAATCTAAAAAAAAAAATTAAGTGCTTACTATTTATCAGGTCCTATGCCACAGTCATTGCTTCAGCTGGTGGAATACAAAAAGTGAAGAGGGGCCAGTTGATGTATCATGTACAATGAAGAAGAAGCAACTATGCACAGAAACTGAAGAAAGGCTCAAAGCCGATGATAGTTGTTGATTACCCTAAAGGAGTTGCTTGATCAGTCTATTGATGCTGGTAATTGGTGAAATTGGAAGGGCTAAATCTGTCCTTTGTGATGCAGAACATTCAATATATGGAAAATAGAAAGTAGATGAAGAGTTTGTTTGCATGAATTTATGAGCAGAGCGCTGTATGTGTAACAATGTAGAAGCTGAGAAAGCATAGTTTGTATAATCTGAGCAGTTTGGTGGTGTCAAGTCATACCTGACATCCTTGCAGTGTGTAGGAGCTTGTGATGTTCTCTGGATGTAGATCCCTGAAGAGCTAGCATTAACCTTGATTTGTAGAAATGTGGGGAAAATGGTAATTAAGGCAAGGGATGGAAGCAGATCATTCTACTTATGTGATTGAGTATGTAATTGTCCCCTGCCTCTGCCTGTGCATCCAGGCACTGAATTTAGGCATGAATTGGTCCAAGCATAGAGTGATTCTATCATATGGAGAGAGTTATCACAAATTTTGATAGAAACCATGTCTGAATAGAAAGACAGTTCCTACTGATAGGTGATGGAGGAACAAGTCAGGTTGGAGTATAAATGGGATCATGACATTTTGCTCTCAAAGAGCTTCCGTCTGCTCTGATAAGGGAGGTAAGTAAACAAAAATAACCAGTGCACAAATAGAATATAATAAATAGAGTTGTTAAAAAAGTCAAAATAAACTAGATGTTGAATCAAGAGATGTGGTTCTAGGTCCTGAATCTGCCACTTACTAGTTATAACAGTGGGTCAAATAATTTGACAGAAGATAAAATCTATAAAATGAAAAAGATGGATTAGAATTTTTTAAGTTCCTTTCAAGTTCTAACCTTTTATGATTCCAAATATCAATAGGAGTGGTAAAAAAAAATGTGGAGTCTGAGGAAAAGTGAGATCATTTCTTTAAGAAATAATCTGGGAAGGTTTTACGGACCTGGTAGCATTTGACGTAGGCATTGAAATTTTTGGACTAAATCTATGATTCCATTAATGTAAGGGATTATTAGTATCAACATCCCTCTAGTGATATTCATTAGCAATTTCTCTGCAATTTCTAATCCTAGAGAGTTGGTTGGGTCAGTGTCAGGACAGTCAGTATGTGAGGGAGAAAGGATTTGAACCCAAGTCTTCCTAACTTCAAGGCTGGCTCCCTATACACTATGTCATTCTGCCTTTTGGGCTTTGACAAATGGGAATTTCAATGAGGATTTGGAGCACTGGATAGAAATTAGATATAAGGGGAAATGGACTTGGGAAAGCCTATGGCTCATTTTGAGAATAGACAGTAGTACTGTCTGGCTAGAAAATAAGGTATTCAAGAAGAGCAGAAGGAGATAAGTTTTGAAATTAAGCTTGGAGACAAAATGTAGATAATCTTAAATATCAAGCTAGGACCCTTAGAGACTTGTTTACCATATCCTTAGCAAGTCTTACTCCACTTCACATCTGCTGCTCTGCCTAGTTTCAATTCCATGGAACAAGATGACCTTTCTAGGATAAGCTCATCTCTTCTAAACTCACCACTGTGCTGCTAACTCAAACCTTGAATCACTCCACCTCCCTTAGTCTGCTCTCCCCTAAAATTGGAGGCTGGAGGGCAGAGTACCAAATTCCTCCTAATTCCTTCCTTTATAGAGGGCAAAAAGTGAACTCTCAGCTCACTCTTCTTTGTATATACTGCTCTGCCTGGTTTCATCTCCTCAAAATAAGATGCCTCTGTGCTAGGTACCCTGTGGTGCTCCATTCCCTCCTATCTGTTTTGTGTGTTGTCTTTCCCTTTAGACTGTAAGCTCCTTGAGGGCAGGGACTATTTTATTTTTATTAATTGTATTCTCAGTGTTTAGCACAGTGCCTGGCACATAGTAGGCACTTAATAAATGTTTATTGGATTGGATTGGATCTTAGGCATTTGAACTTTATCCTGTTGGCAGTGGGGAGCTGTTTAAGATGTTTTGTTTGTTTTTTAAACTTCTTTGATGTGCTCCAAGAAGTATTGTAGGAAGATTAATCTGGGATTTGGGCATAGGACAGATTAGGAACAGTGATAGTGGAGACTGGAGGGAGGTAGGTAAGGAGAGAGGAAAGATAGGAGGCTATTGTGATAGCCTAAAGGTAAGATAATCTGATAGCATCAATAGTAAATTCAGTCCAAATCTATCTATCCTAGGCTCCGGAATACATAATAGTATGGTTTTGCAGAAGATGCATATTGATGCTGAAGCCAGTATTCAGGAGTTATTTCCTGACTATTTTCTAGTTATGGCGATAGAGCAAAGAGAGCAATGAGGATATTAGTTGCTAGGCAAAAGTAAGTGCAGTGTTGCAATGAGTATATCCAAAATCTGCACATGTAAAATTGACAGTTGATTATGGTTTAATGTAGGAGAGTGACAGTAAATCATCAGATTCAATAAGGTATTATAGCTACAAATGAAGTCCACTGTCTCCCTTGGATGCAATTTTTGTGATTTTAAAAATGAAGATATTCTTTCAGATCAATCAGGGCTAAGTATTTCAAGGATTTGTATAATATTAAAAGTAGCAGTGACTTCAAAAACTACCTAATGCACCCATTTCATTTTCCAGATTGTACTGTAAATGAGTACTCGCGATTGTTCTCTAAAGATAAGGTGGCATGATGGCTAGAAATAAAGGTTAGAGAGTTGGCCTCAGAGTCGTGAAGACAGCTTCAAGTCAGCCTTCTGACACATACTTGCTGTGTGACCCTGGGCAAGTCACTTAACCTAGTGGCTGGAGTGGTACTCTGGGAGTCAGGAAGACTGGAGTTTGAATCCTGACTCAAATATTTACCAGCTGTGTGACCCTGGGAAAATCATGTAAGCACTCAGCCAGGGGTGGGGAACCTATGGGCCTCAAAGCCACATGTGACCCTTTAGGTCCTCTTGTACAGTCCTTTGACCGAATCCAAACTTCACAGAACAAATCCTTTTATTAAGGGCCACACTTGAGGACCAAGAGCACCACATATGGGCCTCGAGGCCACAGGCTCCCCACCTGTACTGACTCAGCTTATTTCACTATCTACAAAATGGGGGTAATCATAGCACCTAATTCCCAAAGTTATTGTGAAAACCAAATGAGATAACAGATATAAAATACTTTGTAACCTTAAAGCACTATATAAATGCTAGTTATTAATATTCAAGAAATATAATAACTGGGAAAGTAAGTGAAGAAAATAGAGCTTTCCAACTAGCTGTTTAGGCAGAACATTCCTAGTAGCATTATTTCTAGTAAGTTTCCATTATTTCTTTTATAATCAGCGTTAAAACTCATTTATTTGGTCCCTAATTATATCTGGAAATTGTAGGTGGTACATAGAACAATTTAGACAGACATGGTCCATACCCTCCCAGAGGTTACAATCTAAGTAGCCATATACATTTTGATCATCCCCAAATCTCAACATTAAGAAAGTCAGGAATTACAACTTACCACCACAATAAAGAAGTACATATATTTGTAAAAGAAGCAGCATTTGACTCAAAGTATTTCTAACCAGTTGGTAGGCAGCCAGCTGCCTAAGCAAATCACATAATGTTTAATCCTGACCTCATGTGTTTCCTAAACTAAAGCAAAGCTAATCAAACAGTATTTAATTGCACTTTGAGGATCATCTGTTCATGTAAATAACATTAAGTTGCTATTTTCAAATAGAGGAAGTGTTCTTTGAATTGTAAATCTGTTTTGAAATTATTGTCATACAGTTCTAACAGCACCTAGGGGAAAAGTGGCCTAAAATAATTTCATTTCACAAATGATTCAACTTCGGTTTAAACTTCATGAGCAAATAGCACCCAGGACGTGTTCAGTAAATAAAGTAGCAGCATTATCACAGCCTTCATTTAGCTGTGTGCCTGGAAGTAATGAGGCAGATTCTCCTAAGGCCCACATTACCTATGGGGAGAAGTTACTTGGGAGGCACATTTGGACTAAGATTTTGCCATCTGACTGTCACAGAGTTTCAGGGAGTAAAATGCTCCCTACAGAATGAAAGGGCTTTATTTAGCTTGTCCCATTGTTTAGGGCCAGATTTACTTTAATTATGAGAATAGTCTATGTTGCCCCCCAGTGGTGTAAATTGACAAATGCTTGCCAATTCTTAGTCAATTCAAGAATTTATGGAATTAGAAAATTTTATAATTTTAGGTCTGGTGGGATCTTGTGATCAAGTTGATTCAGATTCCCAGGTGATTTGACTTAAATCAAAACACTGCACAATTTTTAAACCACTCTCTTCTCAATAAAAACACAAATTCTCTAACTGTACCTATGACTCCAAAAGTATAGGGCAGCTCAGAATTAGAGACTTCCTCCACTTATGCAGCTTGAACTCTACTCTTAGTTTTAAGTCAGATGAAATGTTAAGCACCATGCCCAAGGTCACTCAGCCCTTAGAAGTAAGAATTGAACCCAGGTCTTGCTAACTCAGAGACCAGCTCTCTATTTGCTATGCAATGTTGTTTTTTAATATAGTAAATAAAAAATTTATTTTTGTTTCAATAAATAAAATATACATCTAGTTCTATGAATGTGTGTTCTGAAGAGTGAGGAAAAGTTGAATAAGCTAAAAAAATAAAGCATCAAGAGGGCACCAAGATTCCAAAAAAGATGGCAAATTTCTGGTCTAGTTCACAGTGATGACAGTTTTGTCTTTTGGAGTCCTCTCCACTGGGAATAGAAGCCGCTGAAGCTCTAGGATAATAGGATCCTTTCTCAGGCTAATGGGATGATAGCTTTTCCTCATGGCTCACCTTGAGGATAAGACCAGAGAAAGACAAAACAAATGTATAAGGTGCTGGAAAAGCATAGCAAAATTAAGAATGGATTTCTAGAGCTGTTAAAAAAAAACCCAAAACATTTTTTCCCCAATCATACTCAAAATTAGGAACAGATGATCCCAAAAGGCACATTTCAAAACATCTGGGCTTCCTGTTTGATATTTGCATGATTCTCCTATATGCAATCTTTTCTAAGGGACAGAAACCACATAGAAATGGTTATTTAAAATCAGGGAAATCTTCATGATTATTTTTTTTTTAAGCATTACAAATTGGTTATGGATACATTGGCTGAATAAACCCCCACCTTCCTAAATGTGAATGCATTTTACTGTATTTATATTATGTTGATATGGACAATTGTTCAGCGAAACCTAAAGGATATACACATGGCTAAAGATTGGGAGTTTCAGATATAAGCCCTGCATAAAAAGAGGTCCTTTAGACACCAGTTTTTGAGGCAATCCACTTCCGGTAATAAGTTATTTGGGTATAGACTCCAGGCTTGTTCACACGACCACAGTTATCACCCCAGCTCACAATTCCAAGGAGATACCAAGTATCTTTAGAGTCTTTTACAACTAGGGGTCCACCAGAGTCACCCTGAGGAGAAAAAAGAAACAATGAGTGGTTTTCATTTGCATGGCACAGCTTGCTTACAAAAAAACACTTCCTATTGTCCTAGTTGATTATCACTACAAGTGCTTTTAGAAATCTTTAATTAGGACCAGCAAAAAGCTGCCTCCTTACTGTTCCCGTGGTCTTGTTTCTTAACACTATTGACTATGAAAGCCACTCATCTCCCCAGCAAAAGGTTCTCAATCCCAAGCACCCTACTCTTCAGAATAAAGAGTGAGATCATCCCATGCAGGGTCAGGCCAGTGCTCTCAGGTTTAGTCTCTTCTTTATACTTCCTGTCCAAGAGCCTGGGGCTCTTTGTTAGAGACTTTACCTTGGTTTATGGAAAGCATTTCTTATAGCATCCAATTTTAATCTCTGAAGGCTGGTTGATAAGCCAAGCAAGCAAGCAGCAAGCAAGCATTTTGTTAAGCACCTATTATGTTCTAGGCATCGTGCTAGGTGCTAGATGATGACCTTGAGAATAAGGGTTGTCTTTTATTTTTGTCTTCTTAGTGCTCAGAGTAATACCTGGCACTTAGTAAATGATTATTGACTGACTAAGAAAGGCAAAAACAGTTCCTGACCTCAAGAAACATCACAGTCTATGGTGAGGGAGAGCAGGAGACAACATGCAACAGCTATGTGCATAAATTATGTACGGGGTAAATTGGAAGTAATTGCGGAGGGAAGGCACTAGCATTGAAGGGGACATTGAAAGAATTCTTGCAGAAGGAAGGGATGGGTGATAGGACCTGGACCCTGAATTTTCCCATACATTTCACCAACCCAGTCCCTGAATTTTCCCATACAACCTAGTCCCTGGCATTTTGCTAGAGGCATCTGGCCCATCCCAGCCCACCTAGATACTCAATAGTCCTTTCACTTTGACTCTCTGACCCACCTCAGACCACTTAATTACTTTCACTGCTGCACCTGGGCCACCTTAGGCTATTTACCACTCCTTAATTCCATCTAGGTCCTTTCAAGGTTGCCTCTGGCCCACCCCAAGCTACCTACCATTCCTTAATCCCTTCCAGATCTTCTCACTGTCTTTTTTGTATATAAGTATCAACCTCACCCCATCAAGCTGCAGATTCTTAGGAATTTAGCCTGCTCTATTGGCATTGCAATAAACTTCCCTACTTTGACTGAATGAAGGCTTGAGTGCTTGAATTCTTTCCAGGCAGACTTACCCAGGACCCTTACATTTCAGGGTTCTCAGCAACCTCAAACCTCATCAGAAGAATTTTAGCTGAGTCCTGAATAAAGCCAGGGAAGCCAGGAGATTGAAATGAGCAGGGAGAGCATTCAACGAATGGAGGGAAAGCCAGTGAAAATGCATGGAAGGGAGACAAAGTATCTCATAGAGTGGTCAGACAGGTAGGAGGAGAAATAGGAGAGAAATGTGTCACAAAAGCCTAAAGAGAGAATCAAGGAGAAAAGCATGCTTGTGAGTATCAGAGGTACCTTCTACACTATTTGAGAATTAGGAAAAAGGGGAGGGTTTGTGGGGAAAATGATAAGTTAAGTAATAGTTACTTTCCCACTAAGTGCCAAATATTTTTGAGGTTCAGAAGTCCCACTTTTGAACCCTTCCTTTCTCCCATGTATGCATAGTGGGAAAGAGGGGAGAAAGGTAGAGAAAAAAGCTCATCTAGGGAACTTCTAGCTGCATGATTGCATTCTAGTCCTTTTATATGTATATATAGCCTGTTCTGAGCCTCTGGTGAATCGTTGAATCATATCCTTATATCAAAGTGTAGTAACAATTATTACTAAAATCAAGTCAACAACAACAAACTTTTATTATTAAACCTACTAAGTTCAAGGCACTGGAACAAGCACAATGCTAAGCATTGTATACACAAAATTTTTTTAAAATAAAAGTTACTGTTCTCAAGCTCAGAGTCCAATGTGGGGAAGGAATGTACATAAGCAATTATGCCGAAACAAGATATAAATAGGATAAATTTGAGACAATCTCAGAGAAGAGATATTAATAAACGTGGCTTGTCATGGACAAATAGGGCCAATCTTCTGATGATGAGCCTCTCAACATTTCATTAGTCTGATCCGGGGATCACTGACATAGACTATTGCTAGACCTGCACTCAAAGCCTTTCTTGGTTGTTAGGATAAGGCAGACTTGTGCTCCCATACGATAGTAACCTCCAAAAACCTCACATCCTCTCCATGCCAAAATGACACATTAGAATAAAGGTTAGTAGGTGACAGTAATCACAATTTAATTTTTCTTTAATGATTTGGTTCTTTAGGACCATTATGTGGCACAAGGTCTTTGTTAGAATATCCAATATTGGGGGCAGCTAGGTGGCACCATGGAGGAGCACTGGCCCTGGATTCAGGAGGACCTGAATTCAAATGCGGCCTCAGACACATAACACTTACTAGCTGTGTGACCCTGGGCAAGTCACTTAACCCCATTGCCTAGCCAAAAAAAAAATTGAATCATCCAATATTATTGTAACAAACATAAGAGAAGTAGGAAATTGGGTTGATTGTAATGATTATAATGTTTGAAAACAGATTTTGTTAATACTTTTATATTTCATTCTATCTCAGATCACATACATACAACCCTTTTTGTCCTGGGTAACTCTTGTTCATTCTCTCTATAAATCATCATTAAGGAATCTACCCAATCTGATGAGGGACATCCTTTTGATTTCTTGACACCATGTGGATAGATGTCCAACCAATGGAACAGATATCAGTTGGTCTGTCTTTCTTGATCACATCTTGATGATGATTCCTTTTATTCTATTTCTTCATGTAATTTTTCACTGAGAATATATTGTACCCCAGTCATATCTACCATATAATTTTCCACTGACCTCTTGGTGACCCATAACTTTAATTCTTTAACAAGTAGGATATTACATGACTCACTGGTATATAGCATCAACAAATATATTGATATTAAAAAGATAGGTCATTGTTTTAGTGAAAGGTTTAGGGCAGGGGTGCAGAACCTTTGACCTTGAGGCCACATGTAGCCCTTGGGTGTGGCTGAGTCAGAATTTTGACTGAATCAGAGTTTTATAGAATAAATCCACTGATTAAGGGGATTTGTTCTGTGATATTTGAATTCAGTCAAAGGGCTATACTTGAGGACCTAGAGGGCCACATGTGGCCTCAAGGCCAAAGGTTCTCCATTCCTGGTTTAGGGTTATTAAAAGCACAGAACAATTTTCCACGGGCAAGATAATGCACTCTTCTCTGTGGTTTGGGGGGAAAAAAATCTCAAAAAATTTACTCCAAAAAGCCAAAACACTGACCTAGGCTTAGTGAGGTAAATGACTTGTCCAAAGATAAAAGAAATAAGAAGTGGAGCTTCTATTAGAGTGAGTATTCTTTCAGCTGGTACAGTTCTCAATCCCCATACCTTCCCAGCCTGTGTGATTCTTGTTCAGGTACTTCTATAAATTCTCCATAGAAAATCTACCCAAATCACTTTTTCTCCCAGTTCTTTTAGTATTTCATGAGAAATGTTCAGGCTGTCTCTCCCTTGCTACACGACTGACCTACCTCTTTTCTTGGACAAACATATTCTTGATAACGAATTTCATTCTTCTAGAGCATGTCATCAGTGGTAATGTGCTGCTATTTGAGTAAACCCATGCGTCCCTTTTTTTTTTTTGGCTTCTTATTAGTGATTGGCAAGATATTTCTGCTTGATGGGATATTGGATAGGCCCACTTTCACTTTATAATGACTTTTCCTTCTTTCATTTCCATGGGTAACAGAAAGAGAGGGAGTTTCAAATTATTGTTTTAAAAGTAACATTTTTATTTGTTATAATGGGAGGCATTATAACATGAGAGAGCACAGAGGGTTAGTTAATTTGATTGCTCTTACTGAGCATTTCATGTGGAAGTTGTGCTTGTATCCATTGCAGAAATGATAAGAGAATCTCAGGCTGAAGTATGCTGAAGCTAGCTCTAACCAGCTTGTTAGATTTTTGGTGTGAATAGTTTAATTTTAGAAATTGACAAATACTATAAATCAGGACTTGATTTATTGTTTTATTGCTTTCTAGACTTAAGAAAGTGATGGAGATAATGTTAATAGTATTAATTAAAGACAAAAGTGTGTTGTGTATACTTTTTTTGGGGGGTTGGGGGGATCTGGTTATTAAATATTTACTAGCACACTCATCATCCTAGGATATCTAACTGAGATAAGTTTAAATGGGATACAGATCAAATTATATCACTAGGTCCCTATTTCTTTCAATTCCTATTCCTCCTTTTTCCTAATCAATTAAACAATATTTTATACTACTAATAGTTTACTGGTAGTGTGTGTCTGGGTGATTTAGAATTATATTTATTGTGAGTTAACACCATACTTTTAGTTTCCATTTTGTAAAGAATACAAAAGTATTTCTTGGATCAGATGGATGTTTTCATAGTAGTAATGATAGCAATAGCAAAGTAATTCCTACCCAACCTACCCTGCAGGCATCGTAAATTCCTTCCAAGAAACCAGCACAAAACATTCCAAATGTTATCTCTTTGCCATATACATGTGGCTGCTTGCATATTTCGTCACTTATGATTTCCACTGCTGCTTGTCGAAGTTCATTCTGTGAGTCCCCTAAGGATAAAGGGGGAAAAAAAAGGTATAGCATTTACAATCAATATCCTTTGATAAAGTCTCAAAGCAAGCCATCACTACAATGAAGTGAATAGTTTTCCTACTTTTTCTAATTTCATTAGCTTCAGTAGAAATACCTGATATGAGTCAAACCCTGGGTTTTTGCTAGCTGTGTGATCTGAAGCAAAGTCATTTAACATCCATCTATTACCTTTGGTTTCCCTGAGTATAAAATGGAGGAAGAATTAAAAAAAAAAGTGCTGAGAGGAAGTATCAAGTAGTGGCTAGACCATGGGTAGGGAACCTTTAGACTTGAGGCCACGTGTGGCCCTCTAGGTCCTCAAGTGCGGTCCTTTGACTGAATCTCCTTGGATTTGTTCTGTGAAATTTGGATTCAGTCAAAGGACTGCACTTGAGGACCTAGAGGGCCACATGTGGCCTCGAGGCTACAGGTTCCCCACCCCTGGTAGACTGCCTGCTTTGGAAGTTTGGCATGTTAGGCTTAATTCTTGCCTCTGAAACATACCAGCTTTGTGACCACGAACAAGTCGCCTAACCTCTAACTGCCCCAAGGAGCTCTCTAAGACTCTTAAGCAACAGAGGAGTTTTCAGTTGGCCCCCATGCTGCAAGAGACAAGGGAACCTATACTGGGATCTTAGGGAATTTACTATAACAAGGGGATCATAGGTGTTGACAGAAATAATAGCACATGCCCTACCTACCTCCTAGAATTGTGAGAAAAGCACTTTGCAACCCTTAGAATGCTGTAAAAATGAGGTGCCATTGGGGGGTTGGGACTGGATTTGTGATTTCTGTGGCAAAGAGAAATCCCAGATGAGGATACTCTCAATACCTTTGCATATGAGGAAACTCTTCTACCAATGAATGAGAAGTCCTGTCTGCTGATGCAGGTCAACACTTTCTTTGCAACTTACAATTTCAAAGAAAAAAGGCTAAGTAACTTGCCTAACTTGCCACATAGCCAATATTTGTCAGAGGTAGGACTTGAATCCAGGTCATCCTGGATCTGAGACCAGCTCTAGACACAACAATATTCTGCCTCTTGTTGGCGATAATGACTTCATGAGCATCCCATCATAAGCAATTTCTAGTGAGGAAATTATCTGGAGAATCTTGAAGTTAAACTTGACATATATATATATATGTATATATATATAAAATATGTATGTATACTTATACATATCTATGTATCTATGTATCTATCTATCTATCATCATTTCCCTGACATTAAAAAAAAAGTACCTCTAGAAACTTAAGAGTAGTTTATTTTCTTTTCCAGAAAACTAGAGCAGCTTTGTTAAAAAGATAAAATGGTTTATTTTCAAACCTTCCTTCTCTGTTTTGGTCTGTTATATGTGTTATTAAGCTTTTTCCCCTTATTTAGTATTTTGTTTTCCCCCAGTTACATGTAAAAACAATTTTTAACATTCATCTTTAAAACTTTGAGTTCCAAATTCTCTCCCTTTCTTTCTTCCCCTCCCATTAAGAAGATAAGCAATTCAATACAGCAATATCGAATGTATATCATGTCTAGTCATTCAAAACATTTTCATAATAGTCGTGCTGTAAAAGAAAACATAGACAAAAATAACTCAAGAAAAGTAAAGTTAAAAAAAGTATGCCTCACTATGTATTCAGACACCATCAGTTCTTTGTCTGGGGATGGATAGCATTTTTCATCACAAGTCCTTCAGAGAAGTCTTGGATCATTGTATTGCTGAGAATAGCAAAGTCATTCACAGCTGATTATCTTACAATATTGCTGTTACTTTGTACATAGTGCTTTTTACTTTGCATCAGCTCATGTAAGTCTTTCCAGGTTTTTCTGAGGTTATAAAGCTGTGAAAAAGTTTTTTAAACCTTGGAAATTCACATTGGAACATGAAGTCATTTTTGTTTTCAAAGCTGGCCTCCCGCCTAAGCTTGGATAATCCTGTTTACTAATAAATGACTTTTTAATTGAATGAGATTTTTGCTTCAGGCTCTAGGCTGGGAAACAAGTACAGAAACTGATTGAAACAACGTGGCAGGTACAAAGCTGTTGGGGGTGAAAAAACCAGTCATAGAAATCCAATTCATGTGCAAGTCAGGACATCACCCTTGTGATGTCATTGGTCCTCTTTGAGAATGAAGGACTGTTCCCACCACTACCACCAAGGTGTTTTTATGACCTGCTCAAGTGGCAGGATTCTGAGATCTCTGAGTAAAGCATTTACTTGGCCACACAAGCCATCATCCTATAAATCTTTTCTCCCTTTCAATGCCAAACTACTAGAATCATCTACATTCTTACTTCAACTTTCTCACTCTCCATTACCCCACTGAATTCTCCCGTGCAATCTAGCTGATCCCATCACATAAATAAAACCGCTCTGCTCATTTACTAGTGATCTCTTAACCACTAAACCCAGTGCTCTTTCATCACTTGTCATCCTTGACTTCTCTGCAACTTTTAAGACTGTTCTCTCCTCCCCCACCTCCTAGAGACTTTGTTCTTCTCTGGCTTTTGTGACATTTTATTTTTCTAATTTTTTCTTGCTTGTCTGATTGCTTCTTAGTGTGTTTTGCAGGATCATTTTTTTTTGCCTTCTTTGTCTGGGTATTCCCCAGGATTTTATTCTGGTTCCTCTTCTCTCTATATACTTTTTCCAAGATCTTATTACCAAGTAAAGGTTCAACTGTGACTCCCAAATCACATAGCCAGGCTTAATCTCTCTTCTGAACTTTAGACATGCATTATCAATTTAATTCTGGATATTTCCTCCTGAATCACATGTGGGAATCTCAAATACAATATGCCTAAAGTTATGAAATATCTACGTACATCAAATGATTTTTTTCCTTCAAATTTCCTGTTTTCTGATTAAAGTACCATCATCTCCAAGTTACCCAGGTATCTCAGAGTCATTTCCTCCTCACAACTTCCAAAATTATCTTCCCAAGGCATAAGATCTGACTAATCCCAATGCCCTGCTAACCATTTTCTATAGCTTTCCATAAGATAAAATATGAACTCAGTAGCTTAACATTTGAGGCACTCCACCATCTAGTTCCCACATGCTTTTCCAACCCTATTTCATATTGTTCCCTTTCATATACTCTACATTTAGCCATGTTGAACTACTAGTAGTTTCTCCCCCCTTGGTACATTTGTGTAACCCATCTTCCATGCCTAAAATGCACTTCCTCCTTTCTTCTGCCTCTCATAAGCTGTGTCTTCCTTCAAGGCTCAGCTGAGATATAGTTGTTAGTACTTTATCCTTCCTCAATTTTCCTGATACTATACTTAATTGTTTACATGTTGAAACCCATTCCTACACAGGGGTATGCTGGTAAATGTTTAACAACTAGTTCTTTGGCAGGAAGGAGGGGAATGTATATAGGATGCACTTTTAAGTTTAATATGCATTACTAACATTTTCTCCATCACATTCTTAAATCTATCAACCAACAAAACAAAAAAAACCAAACTCTGATTTGTAGCATTTGCCAATTTCTGAGATGTAAATACTTGCACTGAAAATTTAACAACCAGCTTTCAAGAACCAGTACAGGCTGGCTCCAGCACATCCTACCTCACTCCTGGTAGCATATGAGGTCTGTCAGGGAAGAGACTGTTTCACTACTGTTTGTATCCCCAGTGCCTAGCATGGTGTCTAGCTTATTGATGCTTAATAAATATTAGTTAAATGGTCTATCTGAGAACACAGCAGCAGAATACAGGCCTAGATCTTTCCATTTTAAAGGAACATGCCTTTGCTAACAAAAAAAAAATGTATATTTATCTATTCTGAACTCATTTACTTCAAGGATTGGTACCTTAACTAAAATTAATATTCTCTTCACCGATGCAGGTGATGCTTTCATGCAGTATCATGAGGTACACTAGAAATACTTACCACCTTCTTTTGATCCGTCTCTGAACTCATTTAGTATTTTTTCATGTAGGTTCCTTAAAAATCACAACAATTCAAAGATTAATGAATTACCCACTACTTCTGGCTCCAGGTGGAGTAATCCTGCCATGCCAATCCCTGTGATATCGTTCTTTGCTTTCTTTGGTTGACTCCCACCCCCCCAAAAAAAAATGGAATGAAATTCCCTTTAAAAAATGATTGAAGACTTAAATTGCTCATTAATTTATAGAATTATGAAATGGGGGTAGGTATGCCTGATTCTTTGGTTCCTCACCGGAGAAGACTTTAGTAACACATAAAGGATGCAGGGGCAAATAGCACAGAAAGTACAGAGATAAACAGCCCTAAAGGTGGAGTGGGGTCATAGAAACAGACTGTGTGGGGATGAAGATAAGGTGGAGTAAGGCAGGCAGCATGGAGGAGAAAGTGGGAAAGGAAGAGACAGAGACTAGCTCATATACAATTGGAAGCACCCAGCAGCCTGGAACCAGATGGAGATGGAAGAGTACTTGGGGGCCAGGAATCTGAAGTTTTGGTGGGGGAAAAGACTCCTTGCTTGGAGTTAGTTCATTATCATATCCACATCATCTCAACCTTATCATCAACATTTAATGTTCTACTGGTCTTTTTGTGGATGCCTGGAGTTTATGTGAGATCATAGGACCAAAAGGCCCTGATAGCAAGGCCCTCATGGCCTCCCCTGTTTTATCACATAGTATCAGGATGTGATTTTTAATTAATATATGATGCAGTTTGCAAATTATGCTCCTTTGATTTTTGGGACAATCTGTGAGTAACTTCTGGGTGTCCCTTTGCAATCTTACTTCCTGCTATAGTTACTTTTTATTGACTACTTCTAAACTTGCTATACTAACTAGAAAGGCAGGAGGTGGTTGGGGGACCAGATCAAGATACAATTTTAACATAAGACTTCATGTTAGATATTATTTCAATAATATCTGGAGAATTATTCACATTACTTTGCTATTTTGATGTCCTAGAAGTTTTTCTCTAAAAATGGGTCATGGATTTTTTTTTTATTTTAGTGGTATTTGTTCTAATAGGATTTAACCATCATCAATTATAGGGGAGCTATATTTTGGTAACTTGGATTATTTTTGCAAAAGAAAAAAAGCAAAGGCCAAATAAAGATAACATCATCACTAAAGAGAAGACCCAAATAGACCAATTGAACTTTATACTGAATATTATATTTGAAGACATTAATGATATACATATTGTTGATAAACACGATAGGCATTATCTATGGAGTATGGAATTTGTGTGTCTGTTTTAGGATTATATAGTATGGGTATTTTCCATGCCAATAATCTATCAATAAGTAAATATTCCTTAAGAACTTACTATATGCCAGACACTGTGCTAAGTGCTGGAATAACGTACAGCTACTGTGGTTTGCCTGTTTCTAGTGGGAATTCTATTTATTGATTTCAAGTTTCCTAAAACCAAAGTTATGTTCTCACATGGTAGTCACTTAATAAATTCTTCTTGAAGAATATAATGAATAAAAAAACTGAAAATGAAAGCCTATAGCCTTTGTCAGCTATGTTAAGGTCTTCTGAAAAATCAGGAGTGGACTTTGGGCTGGGGTCACTTTGAATCTCCTTCATTATGGAATCTTTACCTATGGCACACCAGTTGTCATTGTAACTTCTGGTCTCTAGTTGATATATACCAACATTGTTCCTTGATTTATCAATTATAGAAGTTACAAATTCTGCCTTTTAGGTTGCCATGTATAGATAGACCTATAGACCTTTGACATTATGGGCCCTAAATGTCCATTTTCATTATGTTTATTTTCCTACCATATGGTTTCACAGAGGATAAATCACAGAATATTAGTGCTGAAGGTGACCCTAGAGATTATCTAATCCAAACAGTTCATTTTATACATAAACAAACCAAAACCCAGGAAGATTGAATATCCTACTCTAGGTTACACAACTAATTAAGTGACAGAGCTAGGACTAGTAATAATAACAGCTAACATTTATATGGTGCTTACTATATGCCAGGCTCTTTATAATTGTTGTCTCATATGATTCTCACAACAACTCTGAGAGGTAGGTGTTATTAGTATTGCCATTTTATAGTTGGAAAAACTGAGGTAAACAGAGATTAGGTGACTTGCCCCAGCATCATGCAAAAATTGTATCTGAGGCTGGATCTGAACTTAAGTCATCCTGATTCCAGATAGAGATCAGTGCTCTATCCATTGTAGCACCTACCTAACCAAGTAGTTTAATGTAACTTAGCCTTCTATTTACTATACCATATCACCCTAGTTTGTTTTCTTTTAGCTCTTTGGCTAATGAAGATTTGTTGGTTATTTAGGGTGTGTACTTTTAACTAATTGGTAATCAGATCTCCAACAGATGCAGAGGTAGAGAGTTCAATTTCACTGTGATAGTCATGGTGAATTGATAATTACTTGAGTAATCAACAGAAAAAAAATCTTAGTTTAAATAATATCTTTACTTAAAATTATCATAAAATCCCAAAGGAGACTCATTTGGCAAGAGACAAATTAATACTACAGTTTGTGTTTTATAATTAATTCTGAGAAGTTCATTGCTATTCATTCCTGATCACTCTTCAATATATTAAATTATTTATGGTTTGAAAGTAGCTTCCCAGATTCAGAATTAGATTCTGCTGAGTCTGGAGTTTGGGTATCACAATGCCTTGGTGGCAGGGCTGATCTTTCTTGTCTAATGCCTCTCTCAGTGTTTCATGACTCAAATGTTGACTGTCATTTGTAATGACGAAAAAATAGTTAACATCATGCAAGGTTAGTTGTTAATTTTATTTTAAGTACCTCATTCTTGATTAGGTCTATTATCTTAAGGTAATATGTTTGTCAATTGATTGATTAAATTATATGATAACTGAGAAACATGGGACAAACCACAGGTAGGGGACTGCAGCTTATAGTTTGATCAATACTAAAAGTAAACAACCTTAAATTAAAAAAAAGGCATCCTGTGGAAATTGTTTTCTCTGGAATGAGTGATCTAGAGTGAAGACAGGAATGAAGTCATGAAAAGGATGTAGAAGGAGTCCTAGAAATGGTGAGCTTGGGCAGGGACTGATGTTCAGGGGAATAAAGGGGTATCAAAGGTAAAAGGTATTATGTGTTTCAGGAGACATGAGGTAAAAAGCAAAAACATCAAATAGCAACAAAGTTTAATGCTATGCTTCACTCCCATTGTAATAATAACAACAATAATAATTAATAACCATAATAATGACAATAGCATTCTTATAGTGCTTTAAGGTTTGCAAATTTTCATTTGGTCCTCACAAAAACCCTTAAGGTAGAAGTAATTATTTTTACCATCTTACAGACGAGAAACTGAGGTCGAGTGGTCAAATGATTTGCTCAGGGTCACACAGCTAGTAAGTATCTGAATCAGGTTTTGAACTCAGACCTTTCTGATTCTAGGTGCAGTGTTCAATTAACTGTGCCACAAAATCACCTTGATTACAAGTAGGCTGACTAAGTAATGTTAATAAGAATGTATCATGCTGGCTTAAGAAGTATTTGGGTCATCACAGTCTTTTCTGAGATACCTACCACCATACAAAAGACTTCCAAAACCTGTGATATAGACTGTTGAAGCAGGTGGGAAATAATCAGATGCATCTGGTAGACAAATACGGCGTATATCATCAGTAAAGGTGACTTGAGGAGAAAACTGCACTACTGCAATGTCATACTCTCGTGCTGGAGAACGGTACCTTTCATGGACTACAATTCTTTTGATATTTCTTTTCATTAAAGGAGGATTAATAGTTGTACCAAAACTAACAGTCCATCCACGTGGGCTGCGATAACTGTAAAAGATGAAGAAAAAAATGATTATAAGATTTGGACAGCATTAGATTCATCAGTTCTCAGAGTTTATTTACTTGAACCTGTACCTGTCTTCTTCAAACATACCTTATAAACGATCATCCAACCTCCACTTGATGTCCTCCAGTTATGAGGAATTCATTACTTCTGGAGGCAATACATTCCTACTTTTAAGTAACTAATATCTGCAACACCCAGGTCCTTGAACAAAGTATTACTATAAGGTAATAGTCTGTGATTTTAAGTATTATTTTTGTCACAAACTGGCTGTGTGATCTCTGGCAAGTCATTTACCTTCCTAGTAGCATGGGCAACTTCCTAAGAGGAGGGAGTTTCCACACTGTTAATGAAAATATAAACAAGACAAATAAAGCAAACAAGCAAATAAGTAAAATGAGAGTGATTCCACAAGCCATACATTTAACCAATCTCTTTACCCTAAGGTCACATCTCATACATCATCATTTCCAGATCTTTCATTGTCATGATCTTCCTTTATAAAGTCTCTCATCTCCTCTATTCAACACTTATAAACTCCTTTATAGCTTTGCCCATCTTCTCCTCATTTGCTTTGTCTATCTTCTCCACATTTGCTCCAGTTTCTGAAGAAAATGTAGCCCTCTTTACCAAAGCTGACATATCTACCCCTAGTGGAATTGTCTCTGTCTCCTCTGATCACTATTTTTTCCTGTGATCTTTCCCTTTCTCCCTTATCTTTAATTTCCCTATCCAATGGCTTCTTCCCCCACTATCTACAAATGTGCTGAGGTCTACTCAGTATTTAAAAGTCCTACCTTGACTTTGCCATTCCTTCGAGCTATCATCTTGTTTCTTTCTTCCTTTTACTGCCAAACTCTTAGAAAGAGTTGTCTGCCCTCACTGCCTTCATTCCTTAACTATTCATGCATTTCTTAACCCCTTGAAGTCTGGTTTCCAACCTCACTGTACTACTAAAACTGCTCTTTTAAAAGTTACTCTTAACTCCTGATTTTAATGATTTTTCTCAATCCTCATTCCGCTTTACCTGTTAACTTTTGGTGCCATTGACCATTCTTTCTTTCCTTGACTTCCATTGCACTTCTCTTCCACTTCTTCTCTCTAACTGCTTTTCATTTTCCTTTGCCTTATAATTACTTATCTCCTGCCCGTAAGGCTCTGTCTCCTTTTTTCCTTTTTCTCCTCTCCTCCCTTCCCTTTTTCTCTTCTTATTCAATTTTCCTTGGTGATCTTAGTCTCTCTTCTAATTTTAATGATCATTATGCTAATAATTAATATTCATATGGTGGTTTGAATTTTAAAAGGCACTTTACATATATTATCTCATCTCAGCCTCAAAATTGTCCAGATTTTAATCTCAAACTGTCCCTGATTCTTCTCTCTCCCTAACTGTTGAAAGAAATTAATTTTGATGCTGTACCATTTGATTTTTTATAATAATTTGTAACACTCCCTTTTCTGTAAAAAGGCTAGCTTAGAAGAGAAGCCCCTCCCTAGCTAAAAGAATGTCAGAAGCATTTCAGGTCTGCTTAAAGCGCCAGAGCAAGACCTCACCCAACTGGGAAACCTGATTTCTATTTAGGGTGTAAACAGATTCTAGTGTAAGTGAGTTCTCTCCCTAGGGGAAAGAACTCCTGTCCTTGATCCCTTTCATTAGAGTTTACTGTGACCCAGCTCATGAAGAAGAAACCAAACCAGAGAGAACATAGGGTGCCCAGATTGCTAGAGGGAGCTAAAAAATCATGACCAGACCAAGTTCTCAACTAACGTCTTCCCTTCAACTATGGGATAATTGGGAGCTTTTAGCCTGCCTCCTTATTAAATGTCCACCAATCAGGGTTGAGTTTCACTTGTCAGGGAATTCCCTGTCAGAAGGTACACAACTGATTTAAGGTGTTTCAGAGTCTCCCTTGGTGTCTTTGGTTACTAAGAGCAACCACTGACTGTCAATTTATTGATTATTGGCTAAACTGGTTAATAAATTGATTATTAATACCTGAAAACTTTGTCTCTTGGAATTTATTAATAACACTATATGATATTTCTATTTTACAGATGAGAAAAATAAGGCCCAGGGAAGGGGGTTAAGTAACTTGCTTATAGTCTATTGAGTCTAAGAGGTAGAATTTCATCTAAGTTTTCCTGAATTAAAGTCCAGACTCTGCCCAACATACCACACTGTCTCTCAAAGTCTTTATTTAGATGAATTCCCAAATCAATTTCTTGAACCATAGTTTTGCATCTCTTACTATCTACTATATATCTACGTCTGTCAAAGTTGAGTTACCAAACTAGGTAATCAAACTTGCAGCTAGGTTTCACAGTGGATGGAGTATGGGCACTTGGAGTCATGAAAACCTGAGTTCAGATCCTGTCGAAGACACTGGTCCTAGACAATTCATTTAACCTTTCTCAGCCTCAATTTCCCCACCTATAAAATGAGAATAAATGTAGTACCTATTTCACAAGGTTGTGTTGAGGATCAAATGAGTTAACATATGTAAAATGCTTTGTAAACATTAAAGCTCTCTATAAATGTTAGCTATTACTAATATGTCCAAAATGGAACTTATCATCCCCCCATATTGTTCTCTTCTTAAATCCATCCTCTATGCAGGATTTGTAATAGGAAAGTCTCAGTCAAATCATCCAACTCTATCTTCAAGTATTTAGTAGTTGTCTTCAAAAATTTGGAAGACTATAGTGTAAAAAGTACAATAAAGTTGTCCTGAATTGGCCTAGAAGGCAGAACTGGAATGAATTAATGGAAGTTATAAGGAGGGCGGTTTCAGATACACCTAACAAAAACTTTCTAAGAGTTAGACATCCAGTAATGAAAAAGCCTATGTGAAAATATCATAGGATGTACATATAGTATTATACAACTCCCTTATTTTACAAATGAATTAACATGTATAAAGTTACAAACTTAAAAGTACTATGTAAAGCTAGCTGTTATTATTATTATTATTGTTATAGATGAGGAAACTGAGGCAAAGAAGGTTGTGACTTGCTCAGGGTCACACAAGCCAATAAGAGACTGAAAAATGATTTAAATCAAGCCTTCCTGTCTCAAAGGCTCATGTTCTTTGTGGTAAGCCATCTAGCTCCCCATCACTAATGAGATTTAAGCAAAGACTAGATGATCATTGGTCAAGAATACCATGGAAAGCATTCTTAGACTTTATGGAAGTTTGGATTTGATGATCTTTAAATTACCTTCAATTTTACTATTTTAAAATATAGTTTTCAAGGCAGCTGGAGTCTATAGAGGCACAAGGAGATGCTTAGGAATGTAAAACGTTAGAAACCATTTAGTCTAATCTCTTTGATGTTACAGGTGAGGAAACCCAGACTTGGGGATGTTAAGTAATTTACCCTAGGCTACAGAGCTAGTTAGTGGTTGAATAAGCATTAGAACCTAGGTCTCACAGTCCAGTGTTCTTTCTACTTTAGCTTGTTTCCTCCCTACACTAGTAAATTTTTTTAAAATGTATTTGGGAAGAACAGTTCAGTAAAATTCCATTTTCCCAGTCATGAGTTTCAGCCTATGATTAATAGGATCATTTTATTTAGTTAAAACTTACTTCTTAAAGCAGTGAGCTGCAGAAACAAGCCATGTGTTACTAATCAGAGTGGCCCCACACTGATGAACATGGTCATGCTGAAGACTGGCTTGCCATGGCCAGGCAGACTTTGGTGCAATTTCTCCACCAATTATTCTGTTGACTATTGTTGGAGTCACTCGTTTGCCACAACCTGTAAGAAATTTGTTGGATGATTAAAAGTTTCAATAAATCACCTTCGAGTTATGCAAGGGAACTTGTAGACATACTGTATTGTAATACAGTACTTTTTGTTTCTTCATGATCATCAGTGGTAATACAGCATAGAAGTTGTTGGACAATGTAATAAATGCTAATTCAAGAAACATTTAGAGAGCATCTCTAATATACAAGATAAAAAAACAAACAAACAAAAAATAGTACCTGTTCAAGAAGTTCACATTCTACTAAGTGGTACATCACATAAATAGATAAATTAATTTAAGATAATTAAGGGAGGTAGAGGAAACTAGAAACTATAAGGATCAGGAAAGACTTCTCATAGGAGGTAGCATTTGAGTTAAGCCTTGAAAAGAGCTAAGGCTTCTAAAAGGTGGAGGGAGGCAGTGCAGTTCAGTCATGGGGGACAACTTGTGTAAAAGGCACAGAGATGGGAGATAGAATATTGAGTTTGGGTAACAGTAAGTGTCCCAATATGGACAGCATATAGAATATATATGAAGAGAAAGATTCGAGATATGCCTGAAAAGGTAGAGTAGAATCAGATTATGAAGGACTAAGGACTTTGTCTTTAATACTATAAACAATAGTAGATCATTAAAGATTCTTGAGGTGGAGAGTCATATAGTCAGAACTAATTTAGGAGGATTATTTTGTCAATTGTGTGGATGATGGATTAGAAATGGGAGAGATTTGAGGCCTGGAAACCAATTAGTAGACTAATACAATAGTCCATCAAGAGATGGTGAGTTTCTAAACTAGGGTGATAGCTATGTGAATCCACAGAAAGGGGCAGAAGAGATGTGGAGGTGATTGGATATAGAAGGTGAGAGAAAGGAAAGAGTTGAGGATTGCTGAGATTTCAAATGGAGTGGATGAAGGATGCATGAAAACTTTTCCTTTATTTAATTTGTAGCAATGTCTATCCATCCTACAAATACAGATTTAGTTATTCCACAATTCAGTTGACCCCCCTCAAACTTCCCATTGTAGTTTGGAGTTGACCTTTGCTGCTGAAAAGCTGTTGAACTAGAATATAAATTCTAGAGTAAAGGTTCCCAAATCATTTGGCCTACTGCCCCCCCTTTAAAAATTACTCAGTGCCCCCCTGAAAATCTACTTTCTTTAACCCTTTAACTTTTTTTTGAAATTTGCATCATTTCAAGGAATATATAAAATACATTTTTTAAAAAAATTATGTATCTCAATAATTTATTGTAAATTTGTGGTTTTTTCCCTGCATTGAAATTTTAATGACACTATTGCATCATGTAACCATATGATATCATACTGTAAATAAATCATTATGTGCATATTTTCCTGCCAATGCATGCTGGACTTCCTGACAATGTGCCACATACTTTCCCGACAACACTTGCTTGTTAAGACCTGTTGGTGGACTTGACCACTGATTGATTATAACTTGCATTTTGTGTGTGTATTTGGAAAATAATGTAATCACTCTGACTTTAACCCTATTACACAAAAGAAACATGTATGAATGGTTTTTCAAAATGTTCTTCCCTTCTTTCCTTATGCTTCCATTGCTTCCTTATTTTTATTCAATGCCCTCCAATTGTACCCAAGGCTACTATTGCCCTCCTAGATCATTCCAGCACCCCCAGGGTGGTATCACCCACTTTGGGAACCTCTGTAGGCAGCTGGGTGGTACATTGTAGAGAGTTCTGGGCCTGAAGTCAGGAAAACCTGAGTTCAAATCTGACCTGAGATACTTACTAGCTGTGTGACCCTCAGCAAGTCACTTAACCTCTATCTGCCTCAGTTTACTCGATTGCAAAATAGGGATAAAGAGAGGATCAATCTCCCAGCATTGTTGTGAGGATCAAATGGGCTGTTTGTAAAGTATTTAACACAATGACTAATACATAGGGGTACTTGCTTGTTCCCCTTTTTTTCTCCTTCCCTACCTCTTTCTTTACATCTCTCCTTTCTTTCCTCCTTTCTATCTTCCCTTCTTCCTACCTTCAGTCTCTCTTACTTTCTCTTCTTCCTTCCTGTCTTCCCTCCTTCTTACCTTCAATCCCTCCTACTTCTCTCCTTCCTTCCCTTTCTACCTTCCCTCCCTCCTTCCATCTTTTCTTCCTTCCTTTCTACCCTCCTTGCTACCTTCCCTTTTTCCTTCCTTCCTTCTTTCTTATCCTACTTTTCACTCCTTGCCATCTTCCCTCCTTCCTACTTTCCCTCCTTCCTTTCTTCCATCATTCCTTCTTTTTTTCCTTCCTTCCCTCCTTCCTTTGCTCCTTGCTACCTTCTCTCCATCCTTCTCTCTCTCCTTATCTTCACTCCTTCTTTCCCCACTCCTTCCTAATTTCCTCTGTTCTACCTTCCTCCTTTCTATTTTCCTTCCTTTTCTCCCTCCCTCCTTCCTTTCTTCTTTCTCTTCTTCCCTCTTTCTTTCTTTCCTCCCCTCCTTCCGTCATTTGCTCCTTCCTTCCTTCCCTGCTTTTCATCCTTCTTTCCCTCCCTCTTTCTTGTCATCTTTCCTTCCCTCCTTCCTTCCCTGCTTTTCATCCTTCTTTCCCTCCCTCTTTCTTGTCATCTTTCCTTCCCTCCTTCTTTCTTCCCTCCTTCCCTCTCTTCTACCTTTCCTCCTTTACCTCCCTCCTTTCATCCTTTCCTCCTTCCTTTTTCCTTTCTTTCCTCCTTTCTTCCCTCCTTCTTTTCTTCCTTCCTTCCTTTCTCCCATTTTTCTTGCCATCCATCCATCCTTTCATTCCTCCTTTCCTTCCTTCCTTCCTTCCTTCCTTCCTTCCTTCCTTCCTTCCTTCCTTCCTTCCTTCCTTCCTTCCTTCCTTCCTGTGAGGGCCTACAAAGATAGGTTTGGAGGAAGAATACTAATTATGATTCTGTGAAAATTGTTTAAGGATTAGTCTAGCCAAATTTGAAGAGGTTTATCAATAGGAATCTGGAGACAAGGTGATTATTTTTTTCCCATTTGAACTGTTTTCTAAGGCAGGTTGGAGTTTATGATTGCATCATTAGAGGTATGTAGTAACCACATGATTCAAATCATAGGTCCTAAAAATGTAGAAATATTTCGTTGTTACACTTATGCTCCCAATATGCAACCACATGTAGGAATGAAAAGGAATTGGTGGTATTTTTTTGGAACTCTATGACGTGTTATTGGGTGTTCAAATCATCTCGGTTCAGTTTAATAAACATTGACTGCATGTCAAATACAAATCATAAGGGAAACACCTCAAGTCAGTTAGAAAGCCATTCCAGAGTTTTAGTAGTAATAACTACCTAAAGTGTTATGGGTAATTATGAACAGTATCTTATCACAAAGCAAAGAGTAGCAGTGAAGGGTAGAACCAGTATATTGGAAGCCTGAAATTAAACCTGATAAAACAAAGTCTCCCAGAGACATTCAACAATACAAATGGAAAGAAAACAGAAGAAACAGAAGAAAAGTGTTAACAATTTCCAGAAACCATTTCAACAAACTCTTTTCTTCATCAAAGATAACTAAACTACTACATTGGGACCTTAATGTTGCAATACACATACCATCAAAGAAAACAAAAATGAGAAAAGTAGCTAGGTTGGACCAAGTATGTATAAGAGGAGATCCATGCCAGGGAAGACACAATTGTGAAGGTGTTGAGGGACAGATACACAAGGTAGCTGGGGAGAGGAAGAAATCAACATCATGGAAAAAATCTTGGGTCTTATTAATAGGAAAGAAAGGTAACCAAAAGGACATAAATAATTAACTGATCAATATACCTACTTTCCTAACAAGAGAAACTCTGTCAGGTTCACCTATATATGAATTGAGAAATTCTTGATAGGGTTTTGTATAGAACAATAAGGCTTTCACAAGCAATATTCAACAATGGACCATATCTTGACAATCTTGTAGCTGAAAGATGTAGAAAATATAACAAGCCATTGGTGCTTATTAATTATAGACTACAAAAATTTCTTTTTGGTAGAATGAAACACCAAATTACAGGCTCGTTTGTAGCAAAATGTCTCCCATCTTTATTTCAAGATCCTTTAAGATTCTTTGGAAGATATAATAACAGGAATGAACCTGGTCAGTTGAGGAATAAAACAAAGAGATATGTGCTAGCCAAAGTTATATGCTACTATGATGGAGGAGATCCAGTGCAAATGTCAGCCTGAGAATGGGTTCACTGTTGATAGTGATGTCTTCCAGATGTTCCTATTTAGAAATGTCTTGATTGCATCAGGCCTCACGACACTGCAAAGCCTCCTGGAAGTGTTCTGCAGTCACACAAAGGAGTTTGGCCTGTCCGTACACACAGTAAAGAGCAAGAGGATGAAGAATATCTGAAGATTTTAACATTTACTTTGATGGACTTATAGAACTTATCCAATAGTATGTATATCTTGGACAAACTATATAGATAAACACTGAGATAGGTCTAGAGATAAAAAGGAGGAGAGCAGGTTGGATTTCTTTGGAGGAGATTGCAAAACCATTTTACTGACTGAACCTTTTCTTCCCCCGAAAAGTAAAGGCCCATCTTTTGGCAGTGGCTTATGTAACACCACTGCCTTAGAAGAACTAAAGAACATCACACAGAGGGCAATGGAAAGGCATATGATGGGTTTGAATAGGCTGCAATATATACCCAATGAAGAAATCCAAAGAACAGGAGTAAATAAAAAGTCATCAAAAGATTATATATAATGGCAAGAGAATATAGGCTGATCATCTGGCAAGAACAAAGGGTGACAGACAATGAGAATGATCCTTTGGTAGGTACCCTCATGAACTTGAAAGCAAATACTCCTACAGCAAGCTTTTGGGAGAATATGGACAAGAATTATACATGATGGGCAGGTATGGATGAATTGAGATCTACATTAGTAGAGGGTACTCCTGGTTCAACAATATCACAAACCTGTTTGGATATAATTGCTTGAGAACATCCTTCTGGGTTTCCATTTCTATTTCTGGGGTGGTAGCAAGAGTGGTTTGCACAAAGTTCCAAGAAAAGCAAGTTTCCCTGAAATCATCAGACAAGCAGACAGGTGGTTCCTAGAGGCAGTTAGGTGGCACAGTGGATAAAGTTCTGGGCCTGGAATCAGTAGACCTGAGTTCAAATAAGGCCTCAGACACTTACTAGCTGTGTGACCCTGGTCAACTCACTTAACCTTTGTCTGCTTCAGGGAAAAACAAGAGAACCTTACTTAAGTGTAAAATTGGGATAATGAGAGCACCTGTCTCCTAGAGTTATAGTGATGATTAATGAGATATTAATTGTAAAGCATTTAGCACAGTGCCTAGCACATAGTAAGTGCTTAATAAATACTGGTTCCCTTCTTTGCTTCCCATAATGTCTGCCTGAGTGACTCTACCACAATATTAAATATTATAGTTGTCTCTGATGCAAATAATAAAGGTGCTTGATAAAAGTGTTTTGTTACTATGATGCTGAATAAATGGAACTATGCTTATATCTGGTGGAGTCACTCAGGCAAATCTAATTGCTCAGTAGAGAGGCTCCATTCCTTCATTATCATAGTGACAAAACATTTTTTATCAAGTATCTTTATTACATGCATCAGAGACAACTTTATTTAATATTCTTGTCATGAGCTTGAGCTGGTTAAAACATGGTACCAATAAAGCAAATATACTGGGTTCAGACCCTGGATAGACTAGTTAGACTTATATAAAGAAAACTCATTTCACAGTTGCTAACTGTGCCCTTATCTATTGTCGGCAAACCTCTATCCACTGCGCCACCTAGCTGCCCCTAAAATCTCCTTCTTTTAAGCCTATTTTTTCCCTATTTCATTAATGACTTGAAAATATTTTATGACTCAAAAAGATCAGTCTTGAAATTAATTTATAGTTCAGCTTCAGTTTTTGACAATAATCTTTAATGCATAGGTGTAACAGGTACATTTAAGGGTTTATTTTCTTCCAGCGAAAACATTTCTTTTACCTCTTTTTTTTTTTTATCCCCAGTACTTAGCACAGTGCCTGGCACATAGTGCCGTAATAAGTGTTTACTGACTGCCTGACTGATACGTTTGTACAGGAAAAATGATGATATTCCATTTTGAAAGAGTTTTATATGCCATGGAAACCCTACTAATTATTTAAATAAAGTTCTTAGACTTACATGATTGGACAGTTAGCTTGCCCGTTGTTGAACTCATAGCTGGAAAAAAAAAGTGAAATATCAAGATTTGAAGTTACTTGGGTCTTTCTCTCTGGCAAATATCATAGAATCCTGACCATACATGGATTTTGGTTTTATAATCATAATTTCAACTAAATGTTTGAAAGAAAAGAGACTAATCAGATAAGATAATTATGTGGTATAGAGAGAAATGTGTCCATCATTTTCAATGAAACTGTGAGATGAGTGGGTGGTTTATCAGACAAGACTGACATACTTTGATTTGCTGAAGTCAGTCACTTTGATAGAACTACAATTTCATCAAAATAGATGCAACCTCTCCACAACTTCTCATTATATACAAATATGATGTATGATTTTCCGAGTATTCACGTAAATTCTTCAGAAAATCTACTGAATACATTGGATTGGGGGTGTCTATTTCTAGATCTTTTAACATTTTGCAAATTTACTGGTACCCCAGTGTAGCTTTACTGTTATTCCTTGCCCTTGATATATGATCTGGCTTCTCCCCAGGGTCTACATTTTCTTGATGATATCTTTTATGCCACTTTTAAAATTAAAGTCACCATGAGTAAAGTACTAGAACAATTGACATCCATCATGCCTTTCTCCATGGGCTTTTAAGTAACTCATAATTCTAAGTCTTTCTATATCACAATGTTCCATGTTTCACATGGAATGACACCTCTTCCAGGAAGTCTTAACTGATGCCTTTCCTCTCTCAAATGAAAATTATCTTTCTCATGTCCAGACTTGCATAAGGCTTAGTTTCTACTTTTCTTGTGCACTTTAGTGTAATGGTAATGTTAAAAAGATAGGTTTTTGTGTGAGGGGCTGACTGGGATTATTTCTTGCCCTGTATAATTTCCAAATGTCATCCAGTCCACTTTGCTCCTCTTATTCAGTTCTGGGTGCACCCCTTTGTCCACTTGCAGTGTCCAACCAAAATTTATGACTTGTGAACGGACTCTATGAATTGCCTAGCAACCTGCATCTCAAAATCTAGGCAATACACATTCTTTATCCCTCACATCTTTTCATCCATGGACTCTTAGGCAGATCAAAAAGGATGAGTCCGATGATGATATTCTGTAATGGATAAAGGTGAATCTCCTCAACTCATCCTTTTTTTCTGCTAAAAAAGATGATTTTTAAACTAAAAGAAATAGAACAAAAAAATACTATGGAGTTGATAAACAAAGTAGGGAGATGGTTGGTAATCTTTGACTGAACCAGAGCAAAGAGCTGGCCCAAGGCTGTTGCTTGGACAAGGACCAGAAACAGAAGTGAGGAGAATGCTAGTGGATTCTCTTATTCAACCCCCAGCCTGGTCTCAAGCCTGTAAATGAGGAACTAGAATAAGGAGTCTGGACCAAGGTAAAAGCTACAGTTTTAATATTCTGAACCTGAGATTTGCTCAGCTAGCTAACAGGGGCCAGGACCAATAGCTGTATACTAGATCTCCTATAATTATGTCCCTATCTCTCCCCAAACTAAATTAGGATTAGGAATTCTGAAAGCTCAGATCAGGACCAGGCAGTGATCAGATTTCATCCTAGATTAAACTCCTTTGGGTGCTTTGAAAGTTTGCAGATCCGAAGAGCACTGTACTTAATACCTGAAGAAAGCAACAATAGTACCCCAGAAAAGACAAATCAGTATCAAACTAACCCCAGAATTCCCTAGAGAATTGCATAGAGCCTGGCATTAACTCAAAGTCCCAATAGAGTAAATAAGACTGGAAGAATGAATAAACAACAACAATAAAAATATTCTCACCATGAAAACTATTATGGTAACAGGGATACCAAATTCAAAAGATAAAAAAAATGCTCCAAAACATCCACAAGCAAGAGCTCAAAGAAAAACATAGCTTGGATGCAAAGTTAAATAGAATTCCTAGAAGAAATTAGTCAGATTGTAAAGAGTTAAAATTATTCTATAAATGAAAAGCTAGAGGAAAGAGTTAGGAGAGAAATGAGAGCCTCAGAGGAATGATATGGAAGGAGAAATAACACTATAGTATAAGAGGTAGACAGTATGCCTAAGTAACATAGTATGTGAAAATTATCATAGACCAAATAGAAGTTGATAGGTATGAGACAATAAGAAGTATTAAAACAAAATCAAAAGACTGAAAAATATAGAAGAAAATATAGGCGTCTCATATCAAAACAACTAATCTGGAAAATAGACCAAGAAAAAATAATTTAAGAATCATTGGACTACCTGAAAGCCTTAACGACAATAACAACAAGCCTGGACATTAATAATAATAATAATAATGATGATGATATTAAGGGCCTCAATACAACCCCTTTTAGAACTAGATACATCTAAACAAAAAATAAGCAAGAAACAGGTTAAGGACCTCTATAAAATTTTAGAAAAATTGTAGATAATAGGCCTCTGGTGATTATTGAATGAAGAGAGAAGGGAGTATACATATTTCTTACCTGTGCATGGCATATTTATAAGAATTGACCATGTATTAGGGCACAAAATCTTCACAAAGAAATGCAAAAAAAGTCAAAATATTAAACACATCCTTTAGTGACCATGATGCAATAAATTACATCAATTAGAAAGGATTAAAAACAAACTAGAGATTAAATAACAAACCTAAGGAATTGGTGAGTCAAAAAACAAATCACAAACACAATAGATAATTTCATTAGTGCTAATAAAAACAGACAACATGCCAACATTTTTGGAATGCAGCCAAAATAGTACTTAGGGTAAAGTTTATATAATCAGCACGAGGAAGAAAGAACAAATCAATAAATTTGGCATGAAACTTAAAAGAGAAATTATAGACCAATATACTTAATGAACATTGACACAAAATTTTTAAATAAAATATTAGCAAAGTATATACAACAATATGTCATTATTATATACAATGACTAGTTTGGATTTATACCAGGAGAGTAGGATTGGTTCAGTATTAGGGAAATTATCAACATAATAGACCATGATGATAATAAGAACAAGAAAAAAATCAGTATCAATGGACAGAAAAACTGTCAAAAAGATAAGAACCCTTATCCCTGATAAAAAATACTAGAAAACATAGGAAGAAATAGTTGTCATTGTTTCTATTCAGTCATTTTCCAGTAATGTGCTACTCTTTTGACCCCATTTGGCATTTTCTTGGCAAAGATACTGGAGTGGTTTCCCATTTCTTTCTCCAGCTCATTTTATATATGAGGAAACTGAGGCAACAGTGACTTGTTCAGGGTTATATAGCTAACAAGTTTCTGAGGCCTCATTTGAATTCAGGAAGATGAGTCTTCCTGACTCCAAGCCCAACACTGTATCCCTTGAAATAAATAGACCTTTCACTAATAAGGTAAATAATATTTATCTAAAACCTAAATCCAACAAATTACAGACCTTAGTTAAATACCAAAATAGAATTCTGAAAAGCAAAAAAAAGAAAGAAAAAAGAAGGAAAAAACAAAATTGAAAGCAAAAACAAAACAAAACAAAACCCACAAACAAACAAAAACCATTTGAACAAAGAAGTATTCTTTTAAGACCAGATTGGAGTGGAGGAACAAATATGTGATGAAAAAATGAACTGACTACTTTACAGTTCTGCCTACAGCTATAGTATATTGACTTCCAATAACAACTCACTTATTTATCTTGTTAGCTAAATGATCTTTTAAATATCACTTGAAAAGGATGAATAATGGCTCTTCTATTAGATCTTAAATGACTGATAGTATTTCTAGTCAGCATCTTGCTTGGCTAGTTTCTCTGTTAATCTGTAGAACAGAAAACAGCAGAAACAACATGGCAGACACCCATAATTTGCTGTTCTATTAGAGAAATAATAATTATTCTAGTAAGTAGTCCAACCCACATTGAATCAGGCTGTGCTTGTCCTGGCTTCTCACTCTCTCCACATAATTATTTACTAGATTTAGAGTGGAAAAAAAAAAAAGCTTTATTCTCCACCACTGAAAATTGCCCCTTTGCATTTGGAAGTTAACAGGTTGTTTTTTGGGGTTATATTTGATCAAGTCATTCATTGACTTAAATGTAAGTTTCCCAGCAGCTGGTATTATTGTCTACAGAACAACCTGTTATAGGTGTTACTTTCATAATTCTTTTAGGAAATTTAAAGCCTGTTTTGGGTTCCCTGGCAGTCTCAGACCATGTAAGGATTTTGAAAGTCAGTCTTGGGAAGATTTTTTTCCCCAGGGGAAGAGGTGTTAAAGAGTTTGAAATAATGTTTAGGGGCAGCTAGGTGACACAGTGAATAGAGCACCAGACCTGAAGTCAGGAGGACCTGAGTTCAAATCCTGCCTCAGACCAAACACTTGACACTTACTAGTTGCGTGACTCTGGGCAAGTCACTTAACCCCAATTGCCTAAAAAAAAAAAAGAAAGAATGTTTAGCCAGTCTTTATTCAAAATCCCTGTATTCTCACATTCATGTCTTTGTATGTGAAAAGTCAGTGTGATATACTGGAAAAAACAATGTTCTTGGAAGAAAGTGAGACTTGGGTTATAATCCTGCCTCTAGGATTTTCCAGTTATATGATGAGAAAATCATTCACCCTTTTTTTTTTAAGGCAATTGGGGTTAAGTGACTTGCCCAGGGTCACACAGCTAGTAAGTGTCAAGTGTTTGATCTGAGGCTGCATTTGAACTCAGGTCTTCCTGACTTCAGGGCCAGTGCTCTAACACTGCGCCACCTAGCTGCCCCCAAATATTTGTATTTGTTCCTTTAAAAAATTTTTTTTTTCCTGGCTAGGCAATGAGGTTAAGTGACTTGCCCAAGGTCACACAGCTAGTAAGTGTCAAGTGTCTGAAGCCAGATTTGAACTCAGGTCCTCCTGACTCTAAGGCTGGAGCTCTATCTACTATTCCACCTAGCTGCCAATCATTCACCCTTTCTAAGTTTCAGTTTCTTCATTTGTAGAATAATGCTAATAATATATATGTCACTTACCTTATAGGGCTGTTGTAAGGGTCAAGTGAGACAATGCTTACAAAATGTTTTACAAACAAAGAAATGTTAAAAAAAAAGTCAGTTATAGTAATAATTATTCACAGAAGGCAACTTTTCTTCGCTTGAGGGAGACACTGTTTCCAACTAAATATCTTTTGGTTAAAAAGCACAGGTTAGTGCAAGGGAAGGAAAAGCAACTCTGAATTCTGTTGAACTGAACTTCTATTTCTTGGTGCCCTTCATTTACATGAATACTTTCTGACTGCAATGATTCCAATCCTAAGAAACAATTTATAGAATAGTAATAGCTTGTATTTAAATAGTACCTGTGTTCCAAAAATATTTTCTTTTACTTGTGAATCCTCACAATATCCCTGTGAGGAAGGGAGTAGAAATAATTATCCACCTCTTAAAATGATAAAAATAAAAGAAAAGAAAGGTCAAATGATTGCTGGTGATCCTTCAATAAGTCAGTGACAGGACCAGGTCTTCTGACTTTCAGGCCATTGCTCCATTTGTTAGCCTGTCCACATGTGGCCTCAAGGCCACAGCTTCTCTATCCCCTGGTACGGTGTCCTAGTCTAGGGAATGAATATAAGCCTTAGCTCACCAGCCCAAGTCCTAATAGAAACATAAGTCAGGCAGTGACACTAAAGAACATTAGTTCATGTGCTTGAAACCATTTCATACATCATCTCTAGTAACCTGTTATTTTAAATTCATTGGGAATTAATGTTCTTCATTGGCAACTTCCAAGTAAAGTCATTGTTTCACGCTTTGCTAAGCAGTAAGCTTTTATTGCACACAAACTATGTGCTAGGCATTATGCTAAGTTGTAGGGCTACAAAGACAAAAAAGAAATCACCCCTAACTTCTAGGAGCTTACAATCTATTGTATGGCTAATGGGTAAAAGTCAAAATGAAGACAGGTGAGTAAATACAAAATATATGCAAGGTAGATCCAGAGTAATTTCCTTGGGGAGATTAACAACTGGTATGGGAGCAGGGGGTGGGAGGGTCAGGATAGCCTTCCTACAGGAATTATCACCTAAGGTGACCTCTGGAGGAAAGGAAGGATTCTGTGAGGCAGAAATTAGGACAAAGTAGAATAAAGGCATGGGGATAGCTTGTTCAGAGGCAAGGAGAAGGGAGAGATGAAATATAATATATAGGTAAAGCATGCTGATTTGGCTGGACTGTAGAATGTACAAGGGAGGAAGTGCTCATCATGAGATGGAGATGATCCTTTGCTCACTGAGGCTGTGCCAGTGAAGCATAAATTCTGACTGGTCCTATCAAACTATTGAGTCTTTAAGTATGGGGTAGTAATTATTATTCCCTTCTTACTGTAATAGATTGTTGTGTCTGTTTTCTAAGGACCTTCCTATCTAAGTTCAGATTGCCTCTTCACAAAGTCATCTTCTGAGTGATGAAAATGGCTGAAACAACTCTAGTAGACCATCTACTTAGTTACAGAAGGATTGCAAACTATATCAGTGGAAAGAAGACCCCCACTCATAGAACTGTAGACGCTTTAAATGTGGGTAATTCCATAATCCATGATATAACTTACCAGCATAGCTATTATCATCTCATAGTCCTCACAATGTTTTTTGTGATTTGCTTCCTAAGGTAACAGAATGCCTAGAGTTAACTCTGCAGGTTCTTCTGTCTCCATCTTTTTTCCTCTCTGCGGAGGGCAATTGTATAATTTTTAAGTTTAGTGCTTTGCAGAACTTATTTAGAAAGGTCTAGTGGCTCTCAAAGAGTTAAAATAGCTCCCAAAGGACATGGAGGTACTTCCCTGTTAGAACTTGCTCCTGATACTCATGTCTTTATCCCTTTTGGGGGGGAAAGTACATATAACATTATACATATTCTTTAAACAAAAGAGTTTCTTGACTATATTCCAGGTTCCACTCAAAAGTGCAGAAATTTCAAAACACCATACATTTTTCAGTTGCTTAGTCATACAGACAACAGCTAGGACAGGCTAGCTAGCACTTATTATTGATATATAGTTACTTCTGCTATTTTGGAATGTGTAACGTCAGTTGCTTCATCTAGCAGAAAACAAAAGCTACTCCGTGGCCCATTTAACAAAGATTTACCAAGATTCTATTTTTTAAAGTCACAACTTGAGTATAGACAGGTTTAGGAAAACATTGAATGCTACTTATCCTCTCTCTCTTCTCTCTCTCTCTCTTCTCTCTCTTCTCTCTCTCTCTCTCTCTCTCTCTCTCTCTCTCTCTCTCTCTCCCTCTCTCTCTCTCTCTCTCTCTCTCTCTCTCTCTCTCTCTCTCTCTCTCTCTCTCTGTCTTTATTCTTTCCTATCTGTTCATTTATCTACCTGTTTGTTTGCTCATTTATTATTGTTGTTTGTTTGCTTGTTTGTTCAGTCATTTTGTCCACTCATTTATTTGTTTATTTTTATTTTTTTGAGGCAGCAAAGTGTCATAATGGATAGAGCACTAAGCCTCATCAGGAAGATCTGAGTTTATATTCAGCCTTAGACACTTACTGTTATGTGACCCTGGGCAAGTAATATAATCTCTGTCTGCCCCAGTATTCTCGACTTTAAAATGGAGTAAATAATAATACCTACCTCCTAGGGTTCTTTTGAGGTTCAAATGAGATAGTGTTGTGAGGAACTTAGCATAGTATCTGGCACCTAGTAGGTGCTTAATAAATTCTTATTTCATTTCTTCCTATTTCTTTATTTATTCATTCATTATTCATTTATTTTTTAGAAGAATGACCAATAAATTTAGAAATAAATGCATTAATACAAGAGTTAATGATAATTGGAAAAATAAATACTTGCCATTGAGCTGAAGGGATGAGGCATTTATTTTCAGAGCTCTTGTGTTTCTTATTGTCTGATGTAAAATGTTGTGAATTTTTTTCTCCCTTGTTTCTCTTTTCTCATTGGAGGGAAACTGAAACACCATAACAACATCTGCTTTCATGCCATCTATTTCTGGCCTGCAAAGCACAAAAAGACAGTTGGAGATGCCATGGAAGAACCACTAGAATGGGAGTCAGAAGATTTGAGTTCAAACCCTAGCTGCACCACTACCAAGTTAGATGAACTTAGCATGGATTCTCAGTTTTTTCATCTGTAAGCAAAATGATGTTGTTTAACTGCATGATTTCTAGGGTTTCTTTAGCTCTAAAATTCTGTGACTTTAAATACATTATTTCCTGCACTTATTCTCTTATTTGATTTCAAAACCCTTTATGCTCATCCTATGCAGTTATATGTTCATTTTTATTTCATTTATCTGTATGCTATAAGTACTTTATCTTCCTCCTAATAAGATGCAAGCTTCTTGAGGTAGGAAAACATGTCATATTTATCATTGTAGCTCCATCAGCAGGTAGAAGAATAAACTGTGCATATTCCAATGGATCTATGATCTCTTCAGCATAGATATTCCCTCCAATGATGCAGGTTGCAACCTATCAATGCCTGCCCTTCCTTTATAACTCTTGTCCATATCTTCCGATCCATTCATCACAGGGTTTTAACTCAATGTAGTAGAGGCCTTCCTTGTATTCTGTTGACATTCCAAGGATACCATTGACACGTGTGGGTTGTCTACTCCCCTTACTTTTGTTGCATGACTAATGCATTTTTCCCATTACAAACTGTATATAACAGGGGGCTTAGTACAGTAGCCTGTACATAGTAAATATTTAATAAATTCTTATTAATTCATTGATTAATTTGACATCCAATTGAACTGAATTTTCCAGTTAGAGCAGAATGGAGTTTGAATTGTTTGGCATGGTGATGGCTTACCTTACCCAGGCCATATGATCATAATTTTTACCCTTTCTCTCCTTCTTGCCCCATAGAAGGCAGTTTTCCTGGGTTTTTTTCCTTTCATGTTATTCGCTGAGCCCATTTTCATAATTAATCTGAAGGTGTGTCAGGTCAGGTGCAAAGGGACATATATGACTGATATCATAAGGTAAGATGTGGTGAAGACTAATATGTACTTAGAACATCTTGGTTTAATGCAATACCATAGAGCTGAATTCTACACTCTCTCAAAACTGAGAGAATTTAACTATTTTTTTCAAATATATTCATATGTTATTAATATTCTGGTATAGATTTCCCTAGAAGTCTGATAAAAGTTTTATTTCTCTTGCTGTTTGTTGATTTTTGTTTTAAAACCTAGGTTTAAAAAGCTAAAGAAAAATGAATCTTCCAGATTCTCCAGGCTAAATAAAGGCAACGTGGAGGCGGGGAGGAGGATTGGCTAACGAGTAGATATTGTGTGTCAGTTATAAAATATTTCATGTGTTTTATCAGAGTGCTAACTATTACAAAGAGAACAAAGATTTGTCAGCCAATCAATGTACATGTATTAAGTACCTACCGTGTGCCAGGCATTTTGTTAGGTGCTAGAACTACAAATATAGTTAATGAAAAAAGGCCATGTTTACAAGGAACTTAAGATTCTGACTTGGGGTCGATGACATTTCCTTCTTGGAATGCTCCATTTTCTTCTTTGGCAGCAACCATTCCCCAAACTCCTCCTTCTGCCTGTGTTACCGCCTAACCGCAGCCATGGTCAGACTGGCTTCTATGATGTTCCCCATGCCCCACGTGCACAATCCAGCTCCTGGTGCTGCCTCCGTTTTAAAATATTCATCGTGAACATTGTACCTCAGAAAACTGCAAACACTACAGATCAGGGCTTGATTTATTGTCTTGTAGATTATCTAGACCAGGGGTGGGAAACCTGAGGCCTTAAGGCCACATGTGGCCCTCTAGGTCCTCAAGTGTGGCCCTTTGACTGATTCCAAACTTCACAGAACAAATCCTTTAAAATCCCCATAATAAAAGGATTTGTTCTATAAAACTTGGACTCAGCCAAAGGGCTATACCTGAGCACCTAGAAGGACACATGTGACCTTAAGATCACAGGTTCCCCAACCCTGATCTAGGCTTGGGAAAGTGATAGAGAAAATATTAGTGATATAGATTATACTTAAAAGTGTGTTGTGCTTTTTGGAGAGCCAATTATTATAAATTTACCAGCATATCCCTGATACCTTTTCCTTTGCCCCATCAGAGTTGTTGGCCTCAATTGCTTTTGCCCAGGGAAAAATTGCTAGTTAGTGCTATGTGTTCTATTTCATTCACAATATTGAATCTGAAGATCGGGGCTTTAGATTGCACTTTATGTCAAATTGACAGACAGTAATACATTCTGCACCAACTAGAACATTTCTGGACTTAAATGGTGTGAGCAAAAACATCTAGGCAATGAGAACATGAGATCACACAGGATGTTGAATGAACTCTGCTAAGACACATTTGTTGTAGTGTTGTAGTGACTCAAAACCAGGCTAGAAAGTCATTGATTCATTATCTCTCCATCTCATAATTGTGCTTCAAGTCATGGAGCTATAGAATATTGGAAAGAGGAGAAACCTTGGAGATCAAATCCCTTTTCACGGACGAGGGACCTGGGGCCCAGAAAGATCAAAGGACCTGCCACAGATCACATGGCTAATAAGTGAGAAATAGTGTGGCATGGCACATAGACATTGATTTATTAAGAACTTGTTTTGTTTGAGACTCCCTTCTGACATTTACTAGCTTTGTGAGTTGGGTAAGTCATCTATTTCTGTGATACTCAGCTGCAAAATAGAAATTATAATACTTAATGTTACCTACTTTGTAGGATTGCTGTGAGATAAATGCTTTGTGGACTGCAAGGTGCCATGAAAGTTTGAGATATTAAATAGGATGCAAATCTAGGACTTTTGATTCCCACATCTTATATTCATTCTACTATACCAAGCTACCAGTAAGTTCTCAATGTACCAATCCACGCTTTTATGGTATTGCAAACCTAAACCGAGAAGGAAACTTACAGGTTATCTAGTTTTACTTCCTTATTTTTCAGATGAGGATTGTTGTTGTGGTGGTTGTTCTTGTTTGTCCTTCATTCTCAAAGAGGCCCAATGACATCAGGAAGGTGATGTCTTGACTTGCAAGTGAATTGGATTTAAGTGAGGTAGGGCTGTGCAAAGTCACCAGCCTCACTCTCTCCTCCAGAGCCATCTGGGTTCAGTGGCAAAACATAGGTCACGATGACTGGAAATGATCCTGGATGCAATGAGAGACATTGGCCATTTTAAGCTAAGGTCTTCCCCAGGTCTCAGGTTGTCTGAGGCTACAGCGATTCAGTGATTAAGGCTAGGTAAGAAATGAGGTGAAAGAGACCTCTTTTACCTACTTAAAAAAAAATCATTCCGGGAGGGGAAAACCCTCAGGGTTTCTGGCCAGAACACAGGGCCATCTCCAGTCATCTGATCTATGTCTTGCCACTGGACCCAGATGGCTCTGGAGGAGAGAGTGAAGGTGGGGACTTTGCACAGCCTTGCCTCACTTAAATCCAATTCACTGACATCATTAGGCCTCAAGAAGAAGGACAAATGATAGTCAAATGAGAAAACTGAGGCCCAGACAGGTTATGTGATTTGCTCAAGGGAACATAGATGATAAGTAGCAGAGCTGAGATTCCAACTCAGGCCTTATGATTCCAAATTCAATGATTCAAGTTTAAGACTCTTTTTCTTTGCAATGTAATGCCTCTAATCAGATGGGAATGTTGTGAAATCTCACCCTGAGCCACTAAAGAATTGTTTTTGAAACACTATAAGCCATTTCGAATAACCCAATCACCATCAGCCAATGAAAACCAGAGTTTTTAACCTGAGAAAAGGATTAATTTTTTTTTGAATCCGTAAAAGAGAGTGTTTATGCTTTTTGGTCTGAGATGGGAAGCCATATCTGTTATGTTTGTGATATTGTATGGTTTTTGGTCACTTAAGTGATTTTCAATAGATCATTAGAGTTGTGCTATAATCTCTGGGTACATCACAAATACCAAAAATAAAAAAAACCCAAAAAACAACTAATAAAGGAAAATGTCTATTACCCCAAATCACAGGTTGCACTCCTTTTCAGCAGCATCTTGGAAATCACAACAGAAAAAAAAATCATAATCCCCTTCAGCAGCTGGTTTAACAGCTGCTGTTTAAAAATGCTTGATGTGAAAAGCCTGCCAGAGTAAGGAAGTGTACTAAATATGGTTTTGTGATTCATTGATTCTTACCTATGCTTGCTAAGCCACTTTTGCCCAGTCTGTATTTTCTAAATATACTTACATCAGATTGATTACTCGATTCTTGATATAATGTTTGCTCAAGATAGAATCCATAAATATCTCATCCACCTGGTGAGAGAAGAGAGAGAGAATATACATTAATACAAAGAAGAAATTTTGATGTGAGAGTGAGTCCTTCATTAAGAATCAAGTCATTCGAAGTGAATTCCAAATGAAAGCTATTACTATTATCTAGTCTAATTACACAGTATCTAGTTTATGTATTTGCACCATCATGTAAGTCGCTTTGTTTTTTCTCCCATTCTTCCTTTTGTCTATTCTTTTAATATAGCCACTTCCTCTTGGCATGGTTTAATGCTCCCAGCAACTGCTCTGTTTATTTTTCTTGAATCTTTCTGTGCACGATAACTCTGAAGGATTTATGAGTTAAAATATGGAAAGTGCTTTTCAAACCTTAAAATTATACATAAATCCTAGCTATTATAATTTTTAATAGGGATTTTGTAAAAATGACTTGCCATTAAAAAAAAAAGTATAAAACACCTCCTAACTGACCATACTGTTGCCACAATGCAGGATAATAACTCTACAACGTGTCAGAGAAAAGAATTCAACATATTGCTGAATAACTTAAACTAAAGCCACTGTAATAGTCCACAAATCACACTAATATTCTATTCGTGGAGCTGTGAATCAATTGGTCTAATCATTCTTAAAAAAGGAATTTTGAATTATTTTTAAATATTAACAAAAAAATCTATATTTTCTGATCCAGAAAAATCACCAACAAGCATGTGCTCCAAGGTCAAAAGCAGAATGGTCTTGTATATATAAATATATTCATAGCAACACTTTTTGTAATGACAAGTAACTGGAAATAAAGTCAATGCCTATAACTATGGAAATTAATAACAAATTGTATATATGTATAATGGAATTTTTCTGTGTAAGAAAGGATCAAATAAAGAATTTAGAAGAGTGTGGGAAGACTTCAATGAGTCAATGCAGAGTGAATTAAAACAAACAAAAAAATAATATTGACAGTCATTACAATAATGTAAATGGAAAGGACAAAAATATTTGAAGCTTGTATGAACATAATGACCAATAGGTTTGGTCCTGGAGGAGAGTTGAAAAAATACTCTTTTTTCTCTTCTTTTAGATATGAGGGACTATGGGTGTGAATTACGGTGTATTTCAGACTTAGTTGATGTGTTGGTTGTTTCCACTGAACTTTTTTTCTTCTTTCCTTCCTTTTCCTCCATCCCTCTGTCCTTCCCTTCCTTCCTTCCTTTATTTTCTCTCCATCCCTCTCTCTGTCTCCCTCTTTCTTCCTTCCCTTCTTCCTTCCTTTCATTTCTTCTATGTTACAAGAGATGGTTTGCTGGTTAAAGAAGGAGAGAGAGGATATATTCGGAAATAAGGTTACAAATACAAAATACATCCATAAAAAGAATAGTTCATGAATAAAGGCACAGGAGAGAGCCTAAGCTTAGGAGATGATTATGGAAATGGAGGAGAGGGAGGAGGAGAGGAGAAGTTGCATGTGAGCAAGGCCCCTCTTTAGGAAAAAGAGGATAGGCCCCTAGTTATATATGAAGAGGTTAGATTTTTCAAAATACAAGATTTTGTCCTATGGTTATTTAGAAGAAAAAGTAACTAGACAGAGACAGATTCAAAAAGAGGAGACCTTCCATGAAGGCTTTTACGGGTCTAATTTTTCTCTATAGACCATGAGGTCATTAACTGGGGGCAAGGGAATCAGGAAACACTCAGGGCCTTAGGAGAGAACTATAGGTTTGAATTAGTTCAATTGGTATAAAGCAAGGGACAGAAATACAGTTTCCTTGGCAATGGTTAGTCTTGACCTGTATTAATCTGATTATGTCACTGTGTGCCAGAGGGGAATAAAAGGCAGCTGTTTCCGTGCTACTGCTGTACATAATGTGCTGTCCGTGTTCTAGTAGCCCAGTACCCAAGTTGCATCTGGCACGTGCAAGTAGCACTGTTTGCCAGTGAACGCTGGATGGCAGCAACGTGTGTTGATTGTAAGAGTGTGTGAGAGCATTCTGCAGAGTTGTTCACATTGGCTACTAGGCTACAGGATATGCTGAGCATGCAAATAACTTGCTGGAATTATACTGGGAGGGACAAGACAAAATAGCTGTCACCTTATAAAAGGGCAAAAAAGAAAAGGAAGGCTCAGGTAAGGAAAAAAATGTTTTAGGATTTCTTTACTCAGCGTCAATGTTCATTTATTTGATCATTCATGGCATACTACAATACTTTAATGGATCTCATTTTCTTAAGTGTGAATATTCATTCTACTCTTATAAATAGTAACAGCTCTGTACTTTTTCTTGTGAATTCTTATCCATGTCTTCACACAAAATTTTCATAGATTGTAATAGTAATAACACACATTTGTATAACACTGAGAGGTTTACAAAGCACTTTCCTCACATCAGTCTTGTGAATTAAGTAATACTAGAACTGTTTCCATGTTAGACAATGAAATTGAGTCTCAGAGAAAGTAACTGAGTTGCTTACAGTCATGAATCTCATTGGTTGAAGAGTTGGGTCTCATGTGGGAGCACCAATTTCTCTCTTGAATAACTGCGAATTCCCCCAACATAGTGAAAAGTGATGTATCAGTCACTTATGTCATGTGTGGAGGACTCCAAAGGCTCTGGGTCCTGCTGACTTGGTCCCTTACTCCCGAGCTGAGTACCTGGATTTTTCTCATTCTCCTATGCTTATCTTGCTTGCACTACCCCTATTCCACAGCTAAGACACTCCTGGAAAAGTCTCTGGTTACACAGCCTCTGGCTACCAGTTGCTTACTCTTGACCCAATATTTCATCATACTACCTATTTGTTAATCTTGTGGGGGAGGTTGCCATCAATCTGTTTAAACTTGGAATATTGAAAGCTGCTCTACTAGCACACACGCCTTTGGGAATGCCCCCCCACCCCCGCCTCAATAGAACATGGTAGCCATATTACATGCCTATCTCCTTATGTACCTCCTCCAGTTAAAAAAAAATGGCAGATACTACAAATCACATTGGATACATGGCACATTTTTCCACTCATATTCTAAATTTTCATCATTTTGCATACAGCATAGTCACAGGTAATAATCTTAAACATCAGTACATTTGGAGACATAGAATACATAATATCTATATTGGAAATGCATAGGTTGTAGAAAGAAATATAATGCATAATTCACGGAATCCATAAGATAACAAAATTCACATATAGCACGCAGCTTCACATATCAATGCTTTAGATAAAGTATAAATCAATGCATACTATCGGGCTATGCATATAACCTTCTCCCCCATCACTCCTGGAGTATCTTAAGTTAGACTGACTCAATAGCTGTGTGATGTTGGGCAAGTTCACTTAAGTTTGCCTTAATTCACTGGAGAAGGAAATGGGTCGCAAAGAGTCAGGCATGACTGAACGACTGAACAACAATATGCCAAACACTATACCAAGTGCTATACAAATATTATCTCATTCAATCCTGACAACAATCTTGGGAGCTATGTGGTCTTATTGTGCCCATTTTATGGTTAAGATGAGGCAAGCAGGATGTGCGGCTTGACAGGAGTAATAGCTAAAATTATAATATGTAAAATTATGTACAAGTGTATATAATATAATTTGTAAATATATTTTATAAAAATATAATATATAAAAATTGTAATACGTAATAGCAAAAACCTAGCTGCCTTGGGATCACCATCATGTTCAACAGTGTAATTAATACCCTCTGATTTGAAGTCTTCTTGAAGATGATAATGTATAGTTTTAGACTTCTTTATTCTTGCCAAATTTACCATCTCCACAGTTTCCTCCTAAAATCCTGACCTTTGTGATCTTGGTAGAGAAGCCATAGATGAGAAATATTTCTCCCACAATACCTCGACAACTGTAGAAGCTTTCTGGTTGAATATACCTGTCAATACAGGTGAAGTAATCTGTCAACATCAGAATGTTGCTTATATTCATGTAGGGTTAACTCTATGCCACTATGAGAGACCAGAGTATGAGTTTTCTAGAGAAGTTCCATTAAGAATGGAGGTTCACCAACACAGAATACAATTGGCCTTCTAAGTCTCTATTAACAGCCCACAATACAGCTTCAGGCTTTCCATAGTTACATAGTCAATCGGAGTAAATCATCCTGAGCATTCAAAGGAATTGATCATAATGCATGAAAGACTCAGCTGATTGACTGATGGTGAAGTCTTAAAGTTGTTGGAGATAGTATCAAGAAAAAATAACTGTAAATGAAAGGCTTCCAAGAATATTCAGAAAGAGAATTTAAATTGGTTTAGTATCCAAATGAAGACAGTTTAGTTGTGACTTCATCAGTGACCTGTATTTAAATAAGGAAAACACCAAACTACCCAAGAAACATGGATGAAAAAATGAAAGAAAGTTAAACAGAGAGAACAAGGAACTACATGCCAAGAGTGTATTTAAAGACCAGTTTGTAAACTTCCCTTAAATGAATTCCTCCCACCATTGATGGCTTGGCAATTCATGACTTGTTGACTACAATACTGGATTAAATTCTTGACTCACCAGATGATATAATTCATCTAGCAAGGAAGCTTACTTGGAAAAACTACTGAGCCAAGCATTATTTCCATCTGTGACTTCTGGATTTTATGGGGGGGGAGACTGAGAAGGAAACAAATGTCATCCACAAAAGCAGGAGCTATAAGAATGGTATAGAAAAGATAACATTGGGTATAGAGGCAAACTTTTCTGACTCACTATGATAAAGAGACTTATGACTATGGCCTAACGAATATTGTTTGTATCCTTTAGGGACATGTGAGAGAAAAGCCTGAATATGATGATAAATTCATTACTGAATGCAGAAGATGCATAGTAGTGTTCTCTAAAGGACTGAGATAATTTCTCTTGGATCAAGGGCATATCACTTCATTTCTTTTATTTTTAAAAAATTATATTAATGCTGTGCCTTTTACTTTTCTACTCCCTGTATCTCCTGATATATTCCTTTCCATCCATAGTTTTATAGAAAAGATAGTTGAGATTCAGAGAGGGGTAGTAACTACTCT